AAGAAAAGAAAAGAAAAGAAAAGAAAAGAAAAGAAAAGAAAAGAAAACTTAAAGCCAGGTGGCAGCGGCACATCCCTCTAATCCTAGCACTCAGAGAGGCAAAGGCAGGAAGAATTCTGAGTTTGAGGCCAGCCTGGTCTACAGAGTGAATTCCAGGACATCCAAGACTACACAGATAAATGCTGTCTTGGGAGGAAAAATAAAAGGAAGAAAGAATGAACTACAAAACCTCAGAGTCCCCCCACAGCACTGTGTGAATGGGTAAGGTAGCCTTCTAGAATCAGACCACCTAGAATCAAATCACAGGTCTAGCCAAGGCTGTTGGCACGTACCTTTATTCCCTATGTTGGCTGAGCCATCATAAGTTGAGACCAACCTGGGATACAGTATAAAATTCTGCCTCAAAATAAAAAACAAACCAACAAAAATCACAGGTTTACAGCTGACTGGCCAGGTGATCTCAGAAAGGTGACCAACCAGCCAGGGGCATGGGTTTGGCCTCTACGCATAAAGATCCAAAGCTTATCATAACAGGGTTGTTCAGGTGTTCAGATGAATGCTTGGGACATGGTGGTTACACCGTATCACGGAATTGTGTAACTCTGGGATTTTCTGAATGTGAATGATAAGGGCTGCACAAAGGCCTTCTAGGAAGAGGTTGAGGATTAGAACAGGACCTAGTTGGGGTTTTTTCATTGTCAAGGTTACAGGCATTCATTCTCTTCTTGGTTCAGTGTGTCAAGGGTACAGGAGACCCACAAAAACAAAGCTCCATGCCTTGATGCTATAGCCACACAGTAGAAGCTTAGACATCTACCTGGGTTAACAGGGATGCCCAAATGGGTGGTGGACACGCCCCAAGGACAGTCCTACATTCAGCTAACTCCCAAGCCTGCGCCCTTCCCTAGGCAAGCTAGATCAAATCCATTTCCTTAAAGCTAGCAGAGCAACAAATAGAATGTGGCCTTGCGCTACGAGGAGCAGAGGAAATTTCCCGCCGCTGTGTGTGCACACTTCTGAGTGAAGTGAGAATGAAGTCTCAGTTAACAGCACTGATGGCTTAGGAGGACAGAATGGGACTGAGTGGGACAGTTAACACATTATTACTAGAAAATTGGAAATTTCATTTTATAACGATTACCATTAGGCAGGTGTGGTGCATACTTGTAATCCTGGCGCTCGGGAGACTGAGGCAGGAGAATCAAGATGTCTGAGGTCAGTCTCAGCTGAATAGTGAGTTTAAAACTAGTCTGGACTACATGAGATACTGTCTCAAAACAAATAAGCAAACAGACAAACCCAACATTACTATCAAAACATTAAAACAATTAAGTTTTAAAAAGAAAACAAAAAGTAATGGGCTGAAGAGACAGCTCAGAGGTTCAATTCCCAGCACCTACAGGATGGTTCAAAACCATCTGTAACTCCAGTTCCAAGGGATAACTGGCCTCTACACGCACTGCAGGAGCAGGTTGAACAGATGTGCACGAAGGCAAAATGCCCGTACACATATCTTTAAATCTTTTAAAAAAATAAAGAAAAGAAATTTTAAAATTTGAAATAAGCCTCAACCATTCCTCCCAGGGGCTTTGTTTGTGTTTGAGGAAGGCTGCCACAAAACTAAATGAAAAGAAACGACAATCAGAATAGACCCGTTGAGTTGTTAAGGCTTTTTCAAGGAGATAAACTCGAAGACCTTTAATGACACCCCAGTCAGAAGCTATTGCTCGGGGGAGTGCTTGCTGTGTAAAATAAGATTCTAAAGAAAGATATGCTAAAACAAGGCAGGAAAAAACAAGTACCACAGCTTTTGCAAAATAGCTTTCACTCATTGATTATTTGGTGCTTGTCTGAGACAGGGTCTCATATAGTCCAGGCTGCCCTTGAATTCATGATCCTCCTGCCTCCACTTCCTGGAACTGGGACTGGAAACCTAGCACAAAGGTTTGTGGCCTTTAAATGCATATCAGTGACACACATAGAAAATTGGGTTCAGAGTAAGAGACATAATTAGACCCCCAAAGGGTCCTAGGTCGTGTTCAGTTGTGTTGTCAAGTCGGATCCAGGTGGCCTCCCTTTAACTCACAGGATCGGGAGGTTAAAGAGGTCTAAAACAGCATTCTCTAGTTTCAGAGTTTGGAACAAAGGTCCTAAGGATTAGTATCTTACTTGTGAAACGGTCCACCTGTGAAGAAGACAGAAATGAGAAAGGAAACCGAAGAGACTGAATCTAGGTACATCAGAAATAGTTACAAATGAACCTGTGACCAGATCATTTTCTTTCCAAAGTATCAAGGTTATATATCCCTGAGTTCCGGAATCAGGGAGATTTACCTCATCATTGGCTAGGTAGGCGTGTCACCTCTGACGTGGGATGTAAAATCTCCCTTGGTTTTTATAGCTCTTTCTTCAGCTGTAAAGCGGGGATAATAATACTATCCACACAAGGGCTTGGTGTAAGGGTAAAATGAGATCACAGCATACGGAGACGAGCCTGTTGTCTGGCATTGTCGAAATGCCCAGTTCTGATCAGTGTGGCAGTTACACTAAAGCATGCTGGGAAAAGCCACTTACTGGTTTTGGACTCAGAAAAGGGGCATCTGAACGGAGCCAGTTACAACTGGTGGCACTGGGAATCTCCGCTAATCACCACCAATTCCACCGTCTACTTCGGCGAGCTCGTAAGTAAATAACAGTCCATCCTCCTCCAAATGTCACTGCCAGAATAATCTTATCCTGTCTGGGCGCAACTGAAATCTGTATCTATCCACATGTGTGTGGAGGGTACTCATGAAGTTTATAACCCATGATTTGTGTGTAATACAATGCACTCTGAGACACATTGGATGAAACTGATTGGAGCCCTCCCAACTAAATGATAATGGTACTTCCTCAACCACGAATTGACGTACATTCAACCACTATTTAGAAAAATGGGTCTGAAGCCAGGCCTAGTGGTTCAGGTCTGTAATCTCAAGATATCTGTGACAATTTAGTGAAAGAGACCCTGCTTCAAAACTTAAAAATTACACAGGGGCTGAGAATATAGATCAGTAGTAGTAAAGTAAGTTTTGCCTAGCTGGTACAGGGGCCTCAGGTTCATGCCCTAAACAAATCTGAAAAGGCCTTGCAAGTATTTTAGTCCAAACGCCTTATATTACAGATCTGAAACACAAAGACAAGAAAAAGGAAATTATTTACTTGTCCAAAAATGACACAATGTATTGGTAGAAAAGATAGTGGCTGATCTCTGGGTCTCAGCCCACCTCAGTGACTGCTCTCTGTCTAAGCAGCAGGCTCAGGGATGCAGAGAGGCCCTGCTGTGTCCTGCATTTGAGTGCCTGCTCTCTTTCCACCTGGTCCTCTATGGCCAAACTCCCGTCCCTTTAAGCCCCAGCTCACGTGACGAAGATCCCATAGGTGAGGCCCTTGTGGTCTCGGTGGTCCTTCCACTGCTCCATGTGGTCTCTTATGGGGTACTTGCCCTCCTGTCGCATCACTTGCTCCAAGAGTGAGGCACTGGCCAGATTCACAGTGATGCGAGTCCCAAAAGTGTGTGTCCACATTGGACCATACTTGCCCTTGTTCAGCATCTGCGGGGATTAACCAAAGTGGGATAACTGGGGTGACATTTCTTGAAGGAAAGCTGGGGTGGGAGAGGCCACCCCAGAACCAGTGGGCAGTACAAAAGGGCATGGTGTAAGAGGGAGGCACAGTGGTAGTTAGGGGTTCTGCAGACAGAGAAAGAAAAAGTGGTCTTACCAAGAACAAGATTACTGAGACCAATGTTAGCTGGAAGCGGTTGGAGGATCTGAGGCCTGTGGAGGAATATGGTTATATGGGAAACTGGGGTTGGGGCTGTTGCAGATCAGGTGCAGATATTTGTTTTAAGGAATCTGATCCTTTAGTAAGCCTAAAGTTCCTTCTTCACATTTAAATCTACTGTAGCAAGAGGAATAATGACATATTATGTATGAAAATGCCATAATGAAACCCATCACTTTGCATGCCAACTTAGAGAAATAAATAATACAAATAAAATGAATAGAGCCAGTAAGATGGCTCAGAGGGCAAGATGCTTGCCATCAAGCCATAACCTGAGTTTGGCTTGGATCCATATTGTAGAAGGAGAAAACCAATTCCTGCAAGCTGTCCTCTGTTCTACACACACACATGCAAGCATGCACACCACACCTATACATATATACCACACCATACACACACATACACAAATAAATAAATATAGTAAAAAAAAATTAATTTTAGATAAAGAGAAAAATGTTAAAGATAGATAAGTCTTGTTGCAGAATATTTGATCACACCGTGAATCCCAAGATTGTGCACCGGAAAATCCTGTTTCTAGTTGTGATGTGGCTCAGCCCTAGCACATACCTTTAAACCAAGAAAACCAAGACCTTTCTGTAAACAAGATTAAGCAAAGTCAACCATAAGTCTAGAGGTGGAGCAAGCAACCAGTTATCAGGAAAGAACAAAGGAAAAAAGACCATAGGGAGTGAGAGAAAATCCACAGGATGGATAGGGAGACTCACAGGAAGTAGAAAGGAGGGACATTCGTTGGAGTATTTTTAAGACAGTGTGAAGAAGTAAGGATGTCAGCGGAGTAGGACGGTCAGCTGGGTGCTTTCTCTGCCTCTTTGTGCTGCTTGGCTTTCACCCCAGCATCTGGCTCCCAAGTCGTCACTGGTAAAATTTAATGTTTGGGATTTTGTTGAAAAACAACAAAATCTACTCCAGCTGTAGCCTCATTGAGTTGAAGACAAGTGTCTTATGTGATTACCAAGAGAAAGAAAAAAAAAAAAAAACACAATTAGGAATTCTAAGAAAAGCATAAGTTGAGATGGGAAATGCAAGGTCAAATACAAAGTAGGCTGTGTTTGTTTGTTTGTTTGTTTGTTTGTTTTAAAGCAACAACAAAGTAATGAGTGTTTTATGTAATTCCTAAGTGTAGCTCAAAGGCAGAGAATGCCTAGAGGGTACAAGACCCAGCTTGGATCAGAACAGACACATCTGAGACGTTTTCTTTCTTTGTTTCTTTGTTCCTTTCTTTTCTTTTTCTTTTTCTTCTTTTCTTCTTCTTCTTCTTCTTCTTTTTTTTTTTTTTTTTAGCTTTTCAAGACAGGCTTTCTCATGTAACAGAACCCTGGCTGTCCTGGAAATCACTCTGTAGACCAGGCTGGCCTCAAACTCACAGAGATCCACCTGCTTCTGCCTCCAGAGTGCTGGGACTAACGTTGTACACCACCATACCTAGCTGCATCTTAGGCACTCGCTAACTGACACTTTTAACCAGCATCTGGAAAACTGGCACTGCTAAGGGCTAAGAGAGTCATTTTGTGGTACAAAGCTTGCTCCCCTTGAGCAAGACCCTGGCTGCTATAATGTATTGACAGTTGCTGAAAATGAGAGAGGAAAAGAAGACGGAGGGGAGGGCCAAAAGGAACCTACAAATGTGAACCAGAATTTCCTGGCTAACTTACACCCGCACAGTGAAAGAAAACAAAAACCTGTGGCTTTCCAGTTACTTCCTCTTTCCCAATTGTTTCCAAAGAGACTCAGCGTCAGTTCCAGCATTAAGCTGGAGGGCTTCTTGTGAAACAAACAGTAGAGTTACAGAGAAGAGACTCACCTCTGAGGTTACAGAAGAAACTCCTGATCTATATAGTCCAGAAAAAAAAAGTCAATCCTACTGGTTCGCACTATTGGCCTTAAAATGTGTTCTCTCAGGACCACCATAATATAATTACCCCCAATCCATTACCAGTTGTCCAGAATCCACTCTGAGCTAACAATGGCAAGGCTGTCCACTGCCTAGAAGCCAGTCTTGACAAGCTCCAAAATCCATTTGTTCCACACTTCTTCCTCCCAGGGACATGGCCACCACGGGGTGTGGTAGGATCCCGAGGAGTTAGTTCAACCACAGAAATACTTCCACTTCCCCTCAGGAAAGTCAGACTGTGCAAGCCCGACTGGTTGAGAGTCTCAAATGGTTCATCCCTATTTGGAGGACAATTCTTGACATTTATAAACATCACTACAAATTTATAAAGGAAGAACAAGCTTCCCACAGAACAATATACATTATCAACTAAAAAAATAAAAAATCACAAAGTGGTGCCCCCATACTAACACAGAAAGATACCCAAAGTAGACTAGAACAATGAGCATAACACCTCCTGCCTAAGGAATCAGGGCTGGAGCCAGGGAAATGGCTCAGTGGTGAAAGCCTTTAAAAGAGGACCAGAGTTTGGATTCCCACAAACCACATAAATGTCAAGTACACACGGCAGCCTCTGTGTAGTTCTGGCCTTGGAAGGTGGACAAAGAGGGTCCCTTGGAGCAAGCTGGCTAGTAAGACCAGCTATATTGCTGAGCTCTGTGTTTGGCTGAGGTCCTGCCTCAAAGAATAAGATGGAAGAATGAATGCGGAAGATTCCTGACATCAACTTTGGGCCTTCTTTTGTACATCTGTGTGCACATGTACCTGCACTCACACGGGAGCAAACATACACGCTGCATGCATGCCACACAGACATAGCCATGAAAGGGAAAAGTGGGAAGGAAGGCTGAATAAATACCCACTTCTGCTGCGAAATACTAAGAGTGTTTCCCCAGGGCAGAGAAGAAAGGAAATGAATGTACTAGTTACTTTGCTGTTGCTGTGGCAAAAACCAAGACAAGTTACACAAGCGAGGGTTTATTGGGGCTTAAGTTTCCAGAGGGATAAGAGTTCATCATGGCTACGGGGGGGGGGGGGGGGGGAGCACGGAGGCAGGAGCAGGAAACCAGGAGCTCACATCTTGAACCACAAGCTGAAGCAGAAAGAATGTACTACAATAGGGTAAAGGCCTTGAACACTCAAAGCCCACCCCCAGGGATGGACTTCCCCCAGCAAAACCCTACCACCTAAACCTCCCCAACAGCACTGCAAACTCGGAACCAAGTGTTCCATTGTCCAAGATGTGGGGGAAGGGGCGTTTTTTTCATTCAAACACAAGTCATCCTAAAATTTATAACCCAGCCCTAGTTGTATCCATTTGCCTATGAATGAACGTTTTTGGGTTTGTTTGTTTGTTTTCTTATTTTGTTTTGCTTTTTGTTTTTCTTAAAGTTTCCAGTAAAAAAAAAAAAAAAAAATTAAAGGTCTGGAGATGTGTTGATGTAGCTGAGTGAGTGGAGAGCTCTTTCCTAGCACCCTTGAGGTCCAGAGTTTGGTCCCTGTGTGGTGGAGCAGGGTAGAGGACAAGGACACAGACCACTAAAATTAGAGTTAGGTGTGGTGACATATGCCTGTGGTCCTAGCCCTTGGGAGGCAGAGGCAGGAAGAGTACAGGTTCAAGACCAGCCTGGGCCACATAATGAAAAGGAAAAAAAAATGTTCACGTAACATTTTTATTACAATGTGAAGGTGGTAAGCTTCTGCAGTGAAAAATAGTGCTGTGTAGGTGCATTTGCTTTCTTCTTTACACTGTGATTTATTCCCCAAATTTCTACCACAATCTTGGAATCAGGGGGGGAAATCATTTTTTTAAAGACTTGGTAAGGCGGCTGAAGTACAAGCCATCTATTCAGAGGACCCAGGTTCGATTCTTAGCACCTCCACAGTGGCTCACAATTATCTGTAGGTCCATCTACAGGGAAACTGATGCCATCTCCCCGCCTCCACAGGCACCAGGCATGCGCATGGTACACAGCACGCATGGAGGCAAGACGCTGACGCACACATAAAATAATAAACGTTTTGAAGGAAAAAAAGGAAAAGAAAGACTAGATTAAAAAGCCACTGAGTTGGGCACGAATACTTCTCCTGCAACCCCGAGCTTCCAAGGCTGCCTGGTTGTCAGGGCAGAGGCTTCTGGGACATTTCTCCCTTTTTCCTTCAGACTTTCTTTCAGTCGGTTTACTTGGTGGCGCTTAACGAGGACCTCCTTATGTAAGGACTTATTTTAGAAAGACATCGGGATACTTGATGAGAGACGTGTGCTGCCCCGTGTGCCCAGCATTAGGAGGTAACCGGAGACAGACAGCCGGTTTCCAGGGCTCTCGCAGGCTGCTGCCTCTGAGCCGCTTTGCCTAGCTAACATGTCATTGAGATGAATGAGAGGACCAGTTCTCACCCGGTGGAACTCCAAAGATGGAGAGATCGGAATTCATCAGCATTCCCCTGTGGGGCTCCCATCCCATCCGGGGCCCAGGCATACATCAGGAAGCAGTGCAGAAAGACCTGATCCCAGCGCCTCAGATAGACAGCTGAGACGTGGATTACACAGGCTCCCAAATTGCTTCCTAATTATTTTGTAGATGTCCTTTTGCTGTTGTTGTTTTGCCTTTTTTTTTTTTTTTTTAAATAAAAAGATCTTTTCTTTGGCTTCCACACGTGTGCCATGCCCTCCCCTCATTCACACACACGCACACCAAATCAAAGTTACAATAATTTCTCATTTTATGCCCATTAGGATAGCTTGAAAGCTTCAACGAGCAAACAAAAAATGAACAGGAAATAAGCATCAACTAGAACCCTCACGTGTTCCAGCGCAGTATTTAGATAAGGGACTCACTGTGGAAAGTCTGACAC